CAGCCCCAGGACTGTGCTGAGCAGTCCGTACCTGCCCCTGGATGACTGGGGGTTGCTGTTCCCACGCCCGGGTCTTGGGGCAGCACCATTCTGACGATGTTCTTGGGCTGCTTCTTTCAGGAGCTCTGCCCGCTTCTCTGGGCCAGGAGTCCACCTGGGAAAACTTCCCACTCTGGGGCTCCACATCCTCTCTTGGGGCTCGGCTGCTGTGTGACATTTCTGAGAAATGCTTCTGAAGCTTGGGGACAAGCCTTCTCTCATCTTGTGGATATTGTCATGTGTCTCCGTGTCCTAGCTAGGGTGCTGGCTGTCCCCGGGTGAGGTGGGAACCAGATGCAGCCCTGGTGGAGTTTGTGCAGTAGTCTTCTCTGCCCTTTCCCCAGCACACACACTACCCCCAATTTGCAAGCCAGGAGTATGCAGGGCGGTCGCGGCGTGGGCCATTTGGTGATGCGCTGTTGGAGTTTGATGGCTCGGTGGAACAGCTGCTGCAGGCGCTGCAGGAAAATGGTCTCGCAAACACGACCTTGGTGTTTTTCACCTCCGACAACGGGTGAGTGGGCTCAGCAGGGAGGACTTTGTCACTGGTGAGCTTCTGCTGCCATGGTGTGGGGGGACTGGAATGAGGCGTTGGTTGGCTGGGGCAAAAGGGACATGGTGTGGCATTGCCTGGTGAGGCCCCGGTGACCTGAAGTGAGGCAAGAGGTGGCTGCTGCTCTGGGGAGGACCCAGTGCAGTTCTTGTTCCTGTGACTCTGCCCTGCCTCATGGGCAGAACCTCACAGAGTGTGTCTCTCTCTTGTCATGACCCTGTTGGCAGCATCAGGGAAGGGGTAGCGTGAACCTGTGAAACTGATGATAGGTGGTTCTTCCCTCTCGTAGCCCCTCCACCATGCGGATGGCACGTGGAGGCAGCTCTGGCCTTCTGAAGTGTGGGAAGGGCACAACGTATGAAGGTGGCATGCGGGAACCAGCAGTGGCTTATTGGCCAGGCCGTATCACTCCAGGTGAGACTCGATGCTGCTCGTGCCTTTTGTGTGCTGGTGCCCACCGAGGCAGGGCTGTCATGGCAGCTGGGCTGCCCCAGGACAAGTAGAGGGCAGGAGAGAAGTGAGGATGGCAGGGATGGGATCAGGGTCAGGTGCCTGAACATTTCCTTGTGCCTTGCTGTGGTGGGTTACAGGAGTGACGCATGAGCTGGCAAGCACCCTGGACATCCTGCCAACACTGACTTCTCTGGCTGGAGCAGCTCTTCCCAAAGTTGCCCTGGATGGCTATGACCTGAGTCCCGTGCTGTTTGGGTCAGGGAAGGTAAGTCCAGCGGGCCAGGTGTTGTGTGTGCAGGCTGGGTGTGGGAATGGAGCTGTGTGCCTGGTGAGCAGAACCAGCTGGGAGTCAGGGGGGATCCGTGAGCTGGGACCTGTTGTCTGGCCCGGGTCATGCCATGCAGGTCCTGGGCTTCGCCAGGCTGCTCTGCTCTAACAGCTGCGACCTGTTGCCGAGCCAAACCCCGGTGGCTGCAGTGGATGGACAGAGCCCCAGTAGCTGTGAGCAGGGAGCAAACGGTGCTGCTGCTGCTGCTGCTTGTCAGCTTCCCCCCTCTCTGGCCATGTTCTGGCTGTAGTAGCGGGGCTTCTGTGTGACTGCCTGGAGTCTCTGCCTGGTCCTGTTCCAGGCTCTTCTTCAGCCTCGTGGCTGCAGAGGTGAGCTTAGCTGTGCTGCTTCCCACAGAGTCCCCGTCAAACAATGTTCTTCTACCCGCCGTCCCCTGATCCACTGCACGGCCCCTTCGCTGTCAGGCTTGGGAAGTACAAGGCCCATTACTTCACACAAGGTTAGTGCTGACTCCTCTCCTCTGCACAGGCAGTTGTGTGAGGTCCCGTAGGGTTTTGCAGACCAGAGCTCAAAGAGCAGAAACAGTTAGTTATGCCTGTGGATTTCTTTTGCAGGTTCCTTTCACAGCGATATGACCCCAGACCAGGCCTGCCACGGGCTGACCCCGCTCACCCCTCACTTGCCCCCACTGCTCTTTGACCTGGAGTCAGACCCAGCTGAGAACTACAATCTGCTGCAGAGCGGTGCAGGGCCAGAGGTTCTGCAAGTCCTGAAGGAGATCAAACTGCAGAAAGTGGTTTTTGAACAGCGCATGGAGTTTGGGGAAAGCCAGATCAGGAAGGGCAGGGATCCCGCCCTGCAGCCCTGCTGCATACCAAACTGCACTCCTAAGCCTTCCTGCTGCCATTGCTCCTAGCCTCTCGCTGCTCCATCCCCTTCAACTGCTCCGCACTGGAATCCTATCCCAAACCCACCAGGCCTCCCCTACCCCCAACTAACCAAGCTAGCCTTAGAGCTGCCCTTCAGCTTTGGCTCATGGCCTCTCTGACTAATGGAGTGCTGGGGGAGCCATCTGTGGGCTGGGGAGATTGCCAGCCCTGCCTGGCGTGCAGGTCAGGGGACCCTGTGCTCGGTGTTGGAAGTTCAAGCTGAGTCCTCTTGAGAGAAACCCTGACTTGTTCAGGGAGGGACCCGTGCTAGAATGTCATCTCCAGAGCCAGAACAGCTCCTTTCAGACCATGATCAGGAGGAAGCACAGGGCATGCCCCAGTGTCCAGGAACCCAACTCAGCTGGAGGCACGCTGCGCACCCCTGGGTGGGAACAGAGCTGGCAGCTGCAGCACCATCAGGGGCCGAGAGCACAGCAAGAGGAGGATGGGATGGATGGTCCTGGCAGCTTCAGAGGCAGGACCTTGTGCAGCTTGTGCAACGGAGACACGCCCAGGTGGGAAGCAGCTCGGGGTATGCATGCTCAAGCACCCCCAAGCCCTTCATGACTCCAGGAGCTGGAGGGGTGGCCAGTGGTTGGCAGGCCTGGTCCTCTTGTAAGGTCTGTGGATGCTGGGGCTGATCAGTTGGGTAGGCAGCAGCCACATGCCATTCACAGACTGGAAGGGTCTCTCTCCTCCTGCTCGTGAGCTGGTGCAGCTTCAGGGTCACTAGAGAATGCACACGCACACAACGCTCCCACTACTAGCTGGCTCGGGACACTCACTCTT